AAGAAAATTTCCCGCAGAAGGAGACAGACCAAACCCCTCATCACCTTGTGATGCCACCAGTGATACCAAAAGGGGTGAGAAATGAACCCAGCCCTGTCCCAGCCGAGGGCATCCCCACCTGCGACACACAGGTTCTCTCTCCCCCCCGCGCTGATCACATTGTGCAGTGAAACCAGGACCCCAAGGTGCTTTTCCCAATTTTCTCCTCTGTTTTGTATAAACGGAGAAGAAAACGGGTTGTTGGTTGGATTTTTTTTCCCCCAGGTATTTGAATCGATGGAGCAGGGCTCATCTTCACTTGCAAAACAGCACAGTTGTAAAAAAAAATCGCCATTTGATGGAAAATGAATGAAATTTTCCATGGGAAGACAAGAGTGGGAAAGGCTTTCAAAAATTACTTTAAAAAAGAAAAAAAAAAAAAAGCAGAAGATGCCTGCTGCCTTCTGCGACATTTGTGTCCTGGCGGCAGAGCAGCAGCGAGGCCCAGAGGGCGCTGGGACGAGGATGCTCCCCAACACGGGGCCACCAGCCACCCAGCTGGGGACACGTCCCCAGAGCCTGTCCCAGCGCGGCAGCTCCCAGGGTCTCCCCATCACCAGGGTCCATCAGGAGTGATGCCCACTGGGCATCTCACTGTGGAGCGGGTGGCATCGGCACCCTCCCAGACCTTTCTGCAGACTATAGAGCTTTATATTAAATATATATGTGCAGGGAGTGGTTTGAAACCTTCACCCTGAGGATGTTCTTCCCTTTGCTGGTGGCAAAGGCTGCGGGGCCATGAATTTATTTTAATTTAAGAAAGAAAAACAGCAGAAGGGGGAGGTGGAAAGAGCATTGAGCTGGCAATGGAAGGAGGGTGGGAGAGGGCCGGGAGGCGGGAGGGAGAGATAAACGGTGGGTAAGCTATCAGCCCTCGCCGGGCTGGCGGCAGGACGGGGGACGAGGGTTAAACCAGCTGTGCAGGCGTGATCGCCTGACCCCAGATAAACAAACAGCAGCCACACGCTGCCCCACGCCCGCCCCGCGCCTTCTCCCAGCGCTCGGGAGGGAAACCAGCCCGGCCCCGGCTGTGGGGGCCCCCATGTCCCTCACAAGGGGCTGTGCAGGGAGAGGGGTCCCTGCACCCCCCAAGCCTGGGAGGGACCCCCCTCTTTCACCCAGGGGGGAAACGTCACCCACAAACTTCAAAAGCAATCATTGGCTGCAGAGCTGGGGTGGGGAGGTAGGGTTTTTTAGCAGGTAAGGTTTTGGGGGGATGCTTTAAAAAAGCAAGGGATGCTCCAAGTAGGTGATGACTCTGAAAATCATAGAAATTAAAGTGTATACACACACACACATGTTCAATGGACCACTTAGGCTGTAAACACTCCCTAACTAATGTTACCAGCTCATTTTTGAAAGCATTTGTGCACATGGCTGTGAAGATTTTTTTTTTTTTTTTTTTTTAAAAAGGGAATCTCCCCCATTCCCATTTA